TAGTAAGAAATCCTAATTAGCATAATGTAGGCATAAATGCTTATTTTTTTGACTCTTAAGAATAAATTCTGATTGTTCCTCCATCTCTTGCTGACTGTGGAATGATACTAACACAAAAACACATGGCTGATCTCTCATCAGGGACAGAATCACCGTCTGAATCCCTGTGTCTGTCTTTGCATTATTGCTGCAAATGTAACTGATGAGGTACAAAACCCCGATGTCAGTTTTTAACTTGTCGATTCCTTTGGGTTTGCTTTAGATGAATAAAAGCAGTAAGCAAACATTGATCAGCTTCTGAGGAAACAAGTACTCTGGCTCAGGGATTTGTCCTAAATCAGACCCTAAACCAAATGTAGTAATTAATTCCTGGAAATGAACATGCAGTACTTCTACCACTGAAGACTAAGAATTAAATGCTATGTGGTAAAAAACACGGAGATGAGGCATTAGCTGAGTTTAAGATCATCTCAGCATAGCAAACAACAAGAAGCAAGAAGCCATGTTTTCTCTTAAGCAAAGGAAATTTCTGAAACTGCCAAAAAAAGCAGGCACGGCACTTGGAGAATGACATTCAAGTGATGTAACATCACTGGATATTTACATCTGTACATGTAGCCTAGAGCTTCCATACAGAGCTGGCAGTGGTTGTTCAGCTCAGGCTGTTAGAGGACAGCTTGAAGTTCTGTAATCCTCCCAAATAAATTTCACACTAATGAGAATTTCTGTTCTAGTAATAAGCAATTTGCATGTTACCCAAATTCTGTTCAGGCACTTTTTCAATAGCATACTTTGACTTCTTGCTTAGCCCCTGGTAAAGGGCTGTAAAAAACATTTAAAAACAAACAAATCCAACTGTTCTTTGAACTCTTCTTCCCTAAGATTCACACTAAATTAATTACCTATAGAGCACAAATAATCCTAGTCCAGTTTCATAGCCCTCTCCCAAAGTCCATACCCATGTTAACAAACAGGTGGTTTTATTGCTGTCCTACCTCTCCAATTACACTTTTTTTCCCTCAGAGTTAACATTTCACACTAACTTAAGAAGTTGACTAAGTTAATTCCACACAACTCAAGATGATCTCTCAGCCTATCAGTATTAAAACACGCAAAGGTAATTATAAAATTGTAAACACAAATTACATTAGGCAGTTAAAAAACACACAGAAAATAATACTGCACCCGTTACACACCAGCTGTTCTTGCAGGAAAACAGGCAGTACTTACGAAAAGGTATCAGATGATATCAGTGTTAGTAAGAAAATGTACTGCTCTTGGAATAGCCCAGTTTGTCCAGGTTGGGCTGACACGCAAACTGAATCATCGGGGGTGGCCCACACATGAGCACGAGTGTCTCACTGCCAGGGGACGGGAGGTGGGCTTTAATCATGTCTGCGGTGATGAAGCCAGAACTGTACTTCCAATCTGAAACAAAGAAACCAAACTATTAATTTGAATCTCTGTACAGTCTGAAGCCTTTTTAAACTGTGTATATTGTACTCACAAAGTTGCTGAAGAATCAGCAAAGTTAATCCTTTCTCTGTTTGCAGTGATGGTGGCATATATCTCTCACTGAGCTGAAAACTAATGGTCACCTTCAATAGGTGCAATGAGGGTGTGGGAAACAAATGTCTGGTTGATAAGACATGAAAGTCAATGAATAAATTATAGCTTTAGAAGAAATTAGACAGCAGGTGGGAATAAACAGGAAGACTAAATCAGCTTTCCCAGTGAAGAGAGGTTACCGGTGGCCAGTTGTGCAGGGAGAAGTATTGAGAGACCTGTACCATCCAACACATTAAAAAAAGAGGCGGAAAAGAGATTGAGTGGTGAGATGAGAAAGTTTGATGATGACAAATGCTCTGCTGTCTAGTTAAGTGATGAAAGAAGCTCGGCTATGTAGTTAAGTGATGAAAGAATAAAAAAGAAAAAAAGAGGAAAGAAATGCTAAATGATTTCAAGCAGTAATATTATTGAATGCATTTAAAGTGAGTCAAGTAGGAAAAATACACCTACCTTCACATATAAAAATATGCACTTTAAGCTCATTTATCATCAGTGAGATATTGTGGTTATTAAAACCACAGCAGTCAAAAGGCATATGAAATGTTAAGAAGCATTAGCAAACAGAACACCACATCCTAGTAGAAATACAGTTTGCCTGCATCTTCACTACTGCTGTTGGGTTCTGATCTCCTCAGCTCAAAAAGGGCCATAGCAGAACTGGTTGAGAGAACGAGGATCAGCAAAGGTCTGTAACCACTGCTATATGGGGAGGAACAGCAATCCAGCATAGAAGAGATGGGGCAGCAAGGGCAATTGATAGATAGCTGTAAAATCAGTAACGTCAAGACAATTGTTAGGCACCTAAGCACACTCTCTTCCAACAAAAGAATTAAGAGGCAACTGCAAACAACAGGAAATCATTCTTCACACAGAAGCACTAAGCCTACGGAATCGCTAACAGACTGCTGAAAAGCTCCCACGGGCTCCCAGGGAGACACGGTAAGTTCATACAAAAGAAGTCCACTAAGGACTACTCTTACTACCACATTTGGCTTGGAACTGAGAAATACTGAAGACTGGAAGAGTATCAAGGCCTGCTGATGACTCTGGCCATCTGCTCATCGCTACTGCTGACAACAGGTGCAGAACTTTGATTTGACCCAGTTTGGCTCTGATGTCTGTCAAATAAAAACCCAGATCACTTCCAACATCAGAAACATGAATACCCAGGTTTCAAAGGAGATTCAGTAGAGTTCAACTTCTCCCTCCATTTCTAATTCATTGCTACATCAGCCTACAGTTAGTGCTTTTATCTATACACATGGCAGCTCTGTTTTACCAGAATCTAAGCCGAGCTGTTGCAAAACAAAGATGTGAAGGTATTACTTACAGGTATTAACCAATTTAATACCAACAAAATGCTAACATAACCTGATTTCAGAGATAGCCCAAAACGTAGCTGTAACTTTTGCTGAAACGTCAAAAAAACTGACACATCCTGAAATACATGAGAAGATGCGCTGAGTAACGTGTCTCACCCAACAGGCGGTAATAGCTCACGCATTCTGAGGCCAAACTGGTTTAGATCACTTTTCAAAACCAGTGTTGTGGTAAGGCTTGTTTCTGAGGGGCTGGGAGTGTCTTTGTTGTTTAAAAGTGTAAGACTACAAGACCTGATATTATACTAATGGCCCCTTGAACAGGAGTGAAACTATTGTACGCAGATAAGCAAAGGCATTTCCAGTGTGTACCAGTAGCCTACCTTGTGGAGGTCTGTCCAGAGTATACCAAAGCGTGAACTGATCAGGATGCCTCTTAGCAATGTCTTCTAGCTCAGCTCTCAACAATATATCTTTTTCTGTCTGCAAAATGAGACTGCTGTTTAGCTCCAAACCATCTCAGGATGCCCTCTAATGTGAGTTCATCTGGCATTCAACAAGACAAACGCAATGACAACTTATTCAAAGCAAGAAGGTGATTTTTTACCCCCTTACATGACAGGCTATTATCATTACAGGTTTCTTTAGATTCAGATTAAGAACAACAAACTGTAAGACTTAATAGCCACCTAAACACTGTCTTAATGATGACAATTTGAACAATTTTGTAATCCAGCCTAAAACCAGAATTTGCTGCATTTGTCTCTGACCCTGGCAACCACTTTAACCCAACACAATAAGGGATTACCTAATGACCATTCCCTGCTCCTCCCTGTACTGATAATTTTTAAATGTGCTACCTCAGATAATATTTTCTCATCAATGTGTGGGCAAAAGTACAAATCCAAAGACAGTGGAAGAGAATGAAACACACGGAGCAGTATTTTCTCCAGGAGTCAATGTTCTATCAGTTTAAAAAGCTCAGAGGCCACAAAAAATGTAGGCCATTAAAGAAGGACATGCAGAGAAGTCAGTATACTCACCTGATTAGCAAAAAGAAGGTAACATTTTGTGGAGTCCTTAGGATCATTTGTGATATGACGGATCAGCTGCAACATAGGAGTTATTCCTGTTAAAAAAACAAAGCAGTTAAAACCAGGTATTTCTTTCAAGCCACGTAAGGCTGCAGTTACAGTATTAATGCCGCCTTCCTTCAGTCTTCAGTGGGAGCTTAGTTTGCACAGGGCTACATACCTCTGAATTTTTAATCCATGCCAAGGGCAGAAGTTTGGGGTTTCTGTTATTACAAATCATTTCAAAACAAAAGCAAAACCACACCACTTGTGTCTGGGGCTCTCCTCTTCAGCAGTCTCTATCACATACAGCAATTTTACCCTCAAGATATTCTCCTAAAGTATTTTTTGTCATTGAGACTGAAGGTAAGAGATGAAGTGATTTCTCTGAAGTGATTTCTCTGAGACCACATGGTAAATCAAGATAAAAACTCCGAAGTTGCAAGCTCCCAGGCTCAAGCCTCTGGAAAGCCTCAGTGTCACCAAACACTCGTCAAAAGAAATGCAGGTGGAAGTGCTCTGCTACTGAAGTACAGCATTTGGTACTCCTCACATGCATCCATGAAGACATCTTTGTTCTCTAGACATTCCACGTGATGAGAGTAGTTCTACCTGTTCCTCCAGCTATCATCCCAAGATGCTTTGCAAACTTCTTCTCTGCTTCAGACTTCTTATGAGGCTTGATAAGAAAGGTACCTAGAAGAAATATTCAAAACCTATAGGTACATTAACTCCCAAACAAACATGGATACAAATACCATGGGAATGAATTACTGTAGCCTACCAATTAATTAGGACAGATCTACTGGAAATGCTAAATGGACTCAACACAGCATTGAGTGCAAAGAGTAGAAACCTCTTTTTCTCTGTAAACTCCAGTCCTAGCTTTGAACAACTGATTTACTCCTTCCCCACTACCCAATATAATTTATAATAAACTCAAGTACTCCCACATCACTGCCTAGAACGTAACTCAGCAACTGTGAATCTTACTGCTAGCTAAAGGTAACCACAGCTCCTGCTACACTGAAGCAGGTTTCTTAGGCCCTCTTCATTATCCTCACTTGCACCATGGATCTAACCATTTGTGTCCATGTTCAATGGAGTTGTAATCAAAGCAGCATCAAGCAAGAACCCCTGCAAAGTTTAGAATCAGGAATGTTGGAGCCTTGTACACTTTGACCAAGCACTTTATTATTGTAATTAATTTCCAGTTAATGAGATCCCCATGATGCTCGCGGTCAGTTAGATGACTACTTTCTAGTATGCTGTGACCTTCTGACACAGAAGTCTTGCTGACTTCTGCTCCACACCTGGGTATGCCATTGCTTCAGAACTGTCACAGAACCACTGATCAAATTCATCTCCAAGGACCAAGCCAAGTGAAAAGCCCATGAAAAGTATTCTATATGAAGAGCGCTTGATATATTCCAATCTTAAGAGATCTGTAACTAATAAGCAGCTTTCCTAGCTACTACACTTCATAGCGGCCAAAGCAGAGCAGAAAAGAACATCTGTAAACATGCACCACATTTCCTCTGAGATGTAACAGTATATTACTCATCTAAAAGGGTCATGATCCAGAGAAGCGCTGAGCACTTATCCCCATGAAGTATGAGTTAAGTGCACAGTTGCTCTGAGTCAAGAACAAAGCAAAATCCTTCACTTGGATCTTGAAAGAGGATTACTTCTCTGACCATATTTCCCCCAGTCAACTCAGACCTGGTTTAATCATGAAAGGGAGCTGGCTCTCAGTCAGCGGGTTATTCAGTAACAACTCTCTGAGATCCTCAGAGCGCATTTTAGGCCACAACCTCCCTTGTTTAAGCAGCATCTGAACATAGTATAGCTGTATAGCTGAGGTACTATTTCCACTGCAGCCTTCTCGTAATATAATGCAATAGCTTTTTTTTTCAGATATTATTATATGGTCCCAGGAGTGAGACAGAAACCAACTATTCCTCACACAAAGTACTCTGTCCCATCATATCAACTCTAATGGGCTCTTAGTCAAGACCAAGAAAGGTGGATTTTCTCTTTTCCACTTTAAAAAAAAGGTTCTCTACAAACTTGTCAAGTTTCATAAAACACCTCCGAAAATAACCAATACAAGTTTCTCCCTTTTGCTCTCCCACCTTCATGTTACAGTACCTGCCCCCTTATAGACAAGGAGCCCATTTGGCCCTCTGAAGTCAATATCATCTCCGATCTTCATGTCATCTAGGTACTGGGACATCTTCCCACCTTCTGGAAACTTTGGATTCACATTTTTGTGGTAGACCTGTAAAAACAATAATTTAGATGAAATTAACCACTAGCTTTCCTGCAGACAGTATTACAAACTGCAGAACACAATACTGCGGGTCTGAAATCCAGCATCTGAGAAAGAATCGGAGACAATTCTCTGCTCTCAGTTATCTGTTGTGCCTTGCAACAGGAAGCAGCCAAAATAAGTAAAATGCTGTCACGCACACATCACTACACTCCCTGCAAACAGCCAAACAGGAATAGGTGGCAGGCAGGTTATGTACTGGTGCCCTCACTTCACTGTCCCTCCAACAAGAACCTTATGTTACCCCACTCCTGTAATCGTTCCTTCTGAAAATATCACTGCTGCACCTTTTCTTTTTAGACTCTCCCAGAGACTTCAGCCACATAACTTTTTCACCTTTCAAAGCACATAATAAGTCTTAAGAAGCTAATAGCAGTTCACCATACTTCACCATGAAGAAAAGAGCGTGCAAAAAAACGCCAGTTTTTTGCCTAAGGACAAACTCTATCCTAGAAAAGGATTAGAAAATCCAAAAGTCCTGGGATCAAATCATCCTGCATTCCCTAGCTTAAAGGATTTCCCTTGTTTCTGTATCCTGTTTTCTTAATCAATAAACCCATTAGCCCAACACCTGACGCTCACAGACGTACAACTGCAACCTCTGTAGGGTCACCAAAGATAGCACTTCTTATGGACTTATTTTCTACTTACAGCTATGAGCAGTGAGTGCTAGTAGCAGCATAAGCAGCTTGAGGGAGAGTGATTGCTATCCATGCATTGTCAAATAAAAGAAACTAGGGAAGTTCCTGCAGTACCGCCAAAAAGGTGATTCCCTTCTCCATCTTCCCTATCTCTGCGGTCTCTCAGCGATATACAGAAGATACACAGGATACAACTTACTATTCAAGGATAATGTGAAATGAGTTGTTTGCCATGCAGTCATCCTATTCAAAAGAAGATCAATCAAAATAAACTCCATATTTCACTAAAATGAAGTACTTTCCTTCATTCCAGTTAGCAATTTATCTGTATTAAAGGAAACCAAAATTTACCTTTATAATTAAATCAACATAACCTTTTGTCTCGTCACTGGAAACTGGAGTATAGGCTCGAATCACCAGATTACCATCAATCTTTGCAGAAAGGTAAACATGTTGGCCTAGGGAGCAAGGATTACAGTCTGATTATTTATTTTTACATCCCTGGTTTCAAACTGTTCTCAGGCTTGGAAGGACAAGAAAAGGGAGGATAGCAGGTATGGTAACCCATTAAACACAAGCAATGATGGAGAAAGTCTTCACCATATAAATGCTGTATCAAACACCTAGTCTCATTTTTCAGAGTATCTGGAGCACTGGGTAAACTGAGGAGAGTGGGTACATTACAGAATCATGGAAAGTAGGAAATTTACAGCAAAATAGTTTGTTGCATGCTCGAGTGCTCTTACTGTTGAATAGCAGCAATCTCTCAGAGCAAAATTCCCAGAGATTCTGCACCAAGACATCAAGAACAAAGCCCTGGGCCATATTCCTTCTCCATAACCCCTGCCTTCCCCAGCATTGGACGCTGCTGTCCACAGAGAGCTCTCTGCCCAACCAAATGCTCCGAGAGGCAGACCCCAAAAGGCATCTGTTTCCTTGTGCTGATTAAAAGAACTGAAACTCCTTGCGTAGAGCAGTCTCTGCAGTCAGACAGCACCGATCTAGAGATCTGTATGGAATAACAAAAAGCAGGAACAATGCTGGCAAAAACCACTGTTTTTAGCAAAATAATCCTCGTAAAAAGCAGAAGGCAGGAATCTCCCAGGAAGTAATCTGGGCTGTGCAGTTTCAGGATCTTATTCCTAAATTCTTAAGAATAAAGTTTGGATAAACACAAGCACTGCAGGGCACATCTCACTTCGTTTATAATTTGTCTAGTTCACGTGGACAGTTCAATCACACTTTCCCATACAAGCCAGAAGAGAATTTGGAGAGACCGCTGCCCTTGACAGGCAGCATGCAAGGGCACGCTCACAGCATGGAATGGGAAGGACCCTGACACTCACCATACAGCAAGGGAAACTGTGAAACACAGTGCAGCACAAACAGGGCTACAGCTGCTACAGCTGCTGCATCTGCAGATCAGAAAGGGAGACTTTCCCCTGCATAGATTACCATCAATTCAAGGTCCAAGGTTCAATGCCATCAGTTTTGCAAGGTACAGGAACAGAGACTGTGCCGATCCTAGCCTAAAATGAACTTCATGCTACAGAAAGCAAGACAAAGTTGTACATATATGTATGTAAATCAAAAGTAATCGTGTGCACTGAATACTGCAGCATCTCCTATATACAGGAGCCGTGTTTTCCCCTTTGTTCTGCACAGAATAGTTACAAGCTTACCCGTCAGTAGAGTTGTGCTCTCTCACATCTACACTGACCATATTCATCAAAAGCACAGAGGCAGCTGACAATAACTGAGGGCACCAGATGGAAGTCAAATACAAATAAGAAATATGGAAAAGCTTTGACAGATACCATTCTACTTATATCCTGACTGGTGGTGAATTGCATCAGACTCAGTTCAGTTTCACTGTTCTTGTTACAAACTACACCACACCATTTCACACCAACAGAAGAAAGTACACACAGATCAGAAATACATCCCTGTGGGAAATCTGACATTTCTCTCTAACACAGCAGCATTCAGATGCAGCTTTTAACTCCTTGCTTTGCTAAGCATTAAATTCCCAGTCAGAAGCCCAAGAACTATGAGTACAGTTTCAAATCCTAAAAGCAGAAATACCTGTAATGAAGTGTTTTCAGTACTAACCTACAGGTAATCCTAATACATGATCTGGCGACGGTAGCCCAAACCGGAATTTCTTAGTATCGTGACTGATATCCTAAAAAAACCAAGCAAACAGCATCAGAATGAGGTCAACATCACCACTGCTTTGAATTTAAAATACCACCCAACACGATGAGCTTTAGTAAGCCTGTTCTTTGTTACATGCAAGTCAAATACTAGGAAGGGAAGTAGAAAGGGCTTTGAAAAGTAAAGTTTAAACAGATGAGAAGTTGTAGAGCCAAAGTCTTTTCCTATTTAATTCCACAAGGAGTTAATTTTGCCTGTCTGCACAATTCCTACAGCACCTTAACATAAAAAACTGGAAACCCTCTATTGCCCAAGGCCAGTGAGCACATTTCATAATTTCTGGCCAAAGATCAGCCAAGACAGGACGTGCAAGCAGCACAGGCTGGTAGGGTTACTTCCCACTGATGCACGTTGGAGAGCGACCAAGGGAGAAACGCAGCTCTCAACTAGGATTTAAACAGACACAGACAGGAGTCTAGTCTCCTCTCCAAACAACCGTAAAACCACGGTGTAGGCATAAATCTTGCTCTACCTTAGGGAAACGCTGCACCCTGGCTGCGGGAGTCACAGCCGCCCCTTGAAGGGCTCTGCGCACTCCTCCAGCCCCGAAGCCTGGGGCAGCCCATGACCACCCAC